TGAATTAGTGGTGTTACTCCTTTAGGGCAACTGAGATTACGACGAGTTTTAGGTGAGATATCTGTCTTTCAGATTTGAGTTTTCAATGTAAAGTTTTGAAGAGAGTCTTTTGTCTTTTTGTCGGTTTTCGTTGTTTTCAATAGATTTGTCAGTTTCTTTTCGAATATGACTTTTGAATGTCCTTTGGTATCTTCAGTCTTTGTTTTAAAGGTATATGGCATGTGCTATGTATGTTTATCTTATTATGTTCAAAATTTGTTCTGAGTAGAAAACGGCAAACAAATATTTATTCGAAAAGGGAATAACTCACTCATAACCGTCAAATAACATGATCCACCAATTAGTTATCATCCTGTTTTACTTTAAAAAATCTTTTAAAATAAGGTTTACTTAAATGATGATGTAAAGATGTAATAACATTCAACCGAGTCCTTTCATCTTACATTCACGTCTAAATATGACTTTTTTTCTGTTGCATATGTAACACCACCAAAATGAAAATAATATTTCCTTGTAAAGGATTATTTTGAATGTCATTAAATCTATTTTGCTGGGATTATAATTCACTTGTTATTTATATGACACTTACTTAATATATAATCAAAATTTGTACTAATTCAATATCAAAATACAGTATGTCATCTATAATAGTGTTTAAAACATCGGCACATATTTTATTTAAACTTAAATTAAAGGCAACAAATAACAAAAATCCTTTCATAGCATAAATATAGGGGTAATATCTTAACCGGATGGAATCGCATAAACTACACTAGAATCGCAATAGGATGTTTTGTAAGCGTTACCGTCCCCTTTTGTCAATGCATTACCTGCCATTGGTATCCACATTTAGTCAAAATATCACTTTTCGTAATAAAACTCAATCATTTGGTTTAAAGATCTGACAAACAGTATGGCATTAAAGATTTAAAGATCGCGAACACATGCCGAGCTATATTTTTTTAGTCCTCAAAATGCGAACATGCTACGAGAGAAACATGTCAATTGAGATATGTCAACTTCATATTGTGGAAAAATGAGACGTTGACAATGGTTAAATTAAAACCATCAGGTTTTCCATACATTCCAATTTGAAGTCGTCTACCTGTGACAATAAAAATGAAACGACCAAGATATGAATCAGACCAATTAATTCTGTAGTGTCCTTAATTTCAACAAGTTCACAATGGGATGAATGAGATCTCAGCAGTTATTGACATGTGAATTTTTGACTGACAGGACATTATCAATATATTGTAAAGTGGAATAAAAGAACTTTGGAATATGCTTTTCTTTTTGTCTTTGGGAAAATTTTGTAGAATCTCTGATTCATATCAGTATAAAAACAAATGGTCATTCGGTGTTCGATTCAGAGTTTTTGAAGATACGTTTGGTATCTTACGCCTCTCTTAACCATCAATATTGTCAAATTCCAAAACATTTTAATTACATGTACAGTATTATCTCTGGCATTCATACGTTTTTGTTTTTAATTAGAGGCAAGGAGGTATATTGATACAGAACCTGCAATACATTACTACATGTATACTAAGTAAGGTTACATTTTTTGTAAAGGTTTTAAAGTCAAAGAGGAACAAAATGATTTATGTTGGCCTTTAAAGACACGTATTATTCAGGTGATACAGGTTCTTGATTTTTGATCTTGATGCCTCTTTTTTAGACTCACACATATTAAGCAGAATTAAGGAAAATACGAAGGGTACTTTTACAAACTCTAGCTGTAACCATAAATGGGATATTATAGAATAGCTATTTGTATATTTTTTTCCAGTATGGCATTTCAATTTTGGCATTTTATCAAAAGTTGCTCGATTGTATCAGTCTAATTTATAAAATCAAATTATTTTATTTGAAATGACAGTAAACACAGGTCTAAAATAAAATTATTAACAAACGAAATAAATATAAAAAAAAACAAGGTTTATGTGTAAGAGCAACGATTTGACAGAACTGAGGATAGATTATTTGAAATTCAAATATTATCATATCAAGTGTCATGACAAATGTTAGTGAACTGGTATTCAACAGCAGTTATTCAACTATAATAAGTGTGAATGTTTTTTTCGTTGGATTGAATCAATTTGATTTGTATATTGTTTAATTACACTTTTTTTTTAATTTATAATCATTATTTATAATTTGTTACATACAACACTTATGAGTATTGAAATTTTGCATTTAGTTGTTCTGTATGTTTTATGTTTGCGTGTTTCCTTTGGAACTTCTATCTTGGGCGGCAAATTTATCAAAATATTAAAGTAACAGTATCAATAAGACAACACTAAGTCATTCTTTGAGGGTCATTTCATCGATGTGGCTTACGGTACACCGTTGTAGTTGTTACTTGAATTAGCAACCTGGTGGAAATTACCGTGAAAACTCAAAACATGAATGGAGTTGCATTATCCTCTATGAGCGGGCAAAATATAACCATCACCAAGCATAAATGCCATTGTGCAAGAAATAAAAATTAATCAACGGATATGTTTTGAAACATTCAAACATGTGAGTGGATGTTAACAGTATTTTCTTATAATTACCGATCACTAAACATGGAAACCGGTAACATGGGACTTAGTTCTAGTACAAATAAAGCAAACATGTATTTGTATACCTTTCATGTATATGATAGTTGGCTGATTGCAGTATAAAATATGCTAAGTAAAATATACAGGTCTGGCTTCTAAGATTGTATGAACGTGGTTGATTTTCTTAAAAATGACATTTTTAAAAACTCTCCTATACACATAATCCTAAAAATCAATATGAGTCATTTTAGTCTGTGATGAGAAGACCTCGGAAATCGAAAGGTTGATGGTTAAATTGAGATTATACAATTTATATTTCAGATTGACATAATGTATTTGCAAAGTAGTAAAAAACTGGTATTTCTGTGACTGGAAGGAAAAGAGTTTTTTACAGAAGAAGTAAAAAATGTCCTAATTTTAGCTCAAATCGACTTTCGTGGTAACCTTGGCAACCATAATTTATGAAACAGATAAAATTGAGAATGGAAATGGGGAATGTGTCAAAGAGATAACAACCCGACCAAAGAGCAGAATACAGCCGAAGGCCACCAATGGGTCTCCAACAAATCGAGAAAATCCTGCACCCGGAGGCGTGCTTCAGCTAGCCCCTAAACAAAACTGTGTACTAGTTCAGTGATAATGGACGTCATACTAAACTCAATCAAAGGCCAGAGGCTCCTGGCTTGGGACAGGCGCAAAAATGCGGCGGGGTTAAACATGTTTTGTGAGATCTCAACCCTCCCCCTATACCTCTAGCCAATGTAGAAAAAACAAACACACAGCAATACGCACAGTAAAACTCAGCTTAAAAGAAGTCCGAGTCCGATGTCAGAATAGGTAACAAAAGAAACTAAGCAAAATGACAATGATACATAAATTAACAAAGGACTACTAGCAGTTACTGACATGCCAGCTCCAGACTTCTATTAAACTGATTGAAAGATTATTTCTTCATCATATGAAAATCAAGCACAATCCCTCCCGTTAGGGGTTTAGTATCATACCCTCATAAAATATATGAAAGAACATAACCCGTATCATGCAAACAACTGATTTTAGAATAAATGTGTTTATTTCCGATGCAAAGACCCTATGAGTGAATCAATATTAAAACCAAAATATGCCATCTTTAATGACCTGACAACAGTATCGTAACTATATCCCTTCTTAATAAGTCTGTTTAAAGGTTTGGTTAGCTTTTGAGGTGCTTTGTAAAGAATATTACCATAAAAGATTGGATGTGAAATACCTGAACGTATAAGATGTCTGCATGTTGATTTATATTTACGAATGATGTCCTTGTACCAATGATAACATTTAGTAAATGTTTTGTCTAGTTTGTGATATCGAAAACCCTGGTGTAATAGAGTATGCTTCATTATTGTTCTTATATGGAGTACATTTTTATCTGATATCAAAGTTTCATCTATATCTGAGACTATGCGTGTCAAATTTCTACGGGTTCTTATTATTGATTACAGAGATTTGCACGTAATATGCTTAAAAAGCAAATTTATTCATTCTAGAGTGGAAATGTATTATTTCAGTCAGTACCGAAATGCTCTAGACCAATTTGATATGTATAAAACGTAGAAAATACTCTCACCATAATAAATCTTCACATTAATTAGGCAATGTTACATCAGCTTCGAGTGTTAGTTGGTTACCCGAAAAATAAATCTCAATTACCAAAGCAATTATATATACAAAAAATAAATGCCTTTTATATGTCTCATTAGCAACGTAAAAATATAATTATTTGCTTTTCTTGATGCTTGCATACGTAACGAACATTTTTGACCAGCATTTAAAACAAGGAGATTTGAAATACAAAAATGTAACTCCTTGATTAGTATTGCAGCACATCTAGGCAAAAACACGTGTCATTGCTGTTTTTCAAATCGGTTTCATTTTGTGCATTTTCTTCTCTCACGTTTGCTATCTTTTCTTTTCGTCTCCAAATATTTCAGTTTTTGTCATCAAAAGAATTGATTACTATGTGAAATGAAAAATCCCCAAAAACCTTTTCAGGGGAAAAAAAAGGGAAACATTATTGTAATTTTGTGGATTGAAGTAACAAACAAGATTAACGGATATAACTAATTATCAAAGAGGAAACGATGATAATAACCGCTTTCGCTCAAACTTCATCGTTTAAAAACAAAATATAAAGATTGGAATATGCAGAACTTGTGATCCTTTAAATAAGCCCGTGCCTTACATTTAGAAAACTACGGAATATAAAATCCCTATTGAACATCAATAATGAATACGCACAAAAGGTAAATATACAAGTCTTCTAAAAAAATAAAGTTAATATTTGAATCAAATACAACCCTTGGCATGCATTGGTAAAGGATAAAACTAATTATTTAAATTGCAAAATAATTAATGAAGAATTTCTACAATTAACAATCTTTAAATAAATATAATACAAATCAATAAACTTACAGCAAATGTATACATCCAACACGAGAAGACTTAGTTCATTCAGTGGTGTACGTTGTACTTCAATAACGACTATTATTACCGTGTAACATTATACATTTGAATAGCAGAGTAATATGATGAAGAAAAACCAACTTCACATTTTTTTTTGTAATGAGGTTTGCGGTAACATGTTTGTTGTAGATTAGGCCGATAATTAATAACTTTTCTACGAAACAATTTTTTTCGAAATATAAATCAACGTTCTTCATTTTAAATACAGACATGGTCGTAATATGTGATATATAAACAAATTCATCATAGATATCAGGCTTACAATTGTAGACCCCCAGACGCGCGTTTCGTCTACATATGTATTCAAGTAACGTAACTAACTTATGTCTTAGTAGACTATTTTCAAATTAAAAAAATAGTTGACAAACATATGTTTCCTTGTAATTAGTATGTCAAAGTTCATCTAGACTAACACTAGAATATTCTTAACTGAATTCACAAACATACAGGTTCAATAAAAGACGTCTCAAGTTTAGGAAATATCACAACTATTATTCAGCTATTCCATATGATAAAACTGTGACCACCAAACTTGTAATTTAGAGCTTCGATATTAGCAGTGGTTTAATTGCATTTGCGTCTACCTTTACTCATCATCCTATACCTAGGAGTAGTCAGATACTAAAATGATTTGGATGCAAAATACACGATGGAATAGCCAGGCAGTTCAAACGTTGTATTTTGTCTGGTTATAAATATCTAATCTTTAGTTTAATGTGTATTTTTGTAAAAAGTGTCTTTTATTTTGATGTTTTTGTTCTTTGCATGTCTTTTTGGTGTGACTGTTTTATCCTCTCCTTTTACATTACAAAAGATTAATTGTCTAAACTTTGAAACCATTAAGTTAAGAATACATTTTAAGGTTGAAAGATTAACGTCTTATGTATATAAAAGGACAAACAATGTTGCGATATTAGTTTCTAATATCATACTTATTATACTTATACAGAGTTGATATATGCAAGTATATATCACAAATATATGAAACATTAATCTTTATCTCGTGTTTACTATATAGTAGACTTTCCACACTACGTACCACATGCTTATAATATTTCTAAATTGCAAATTTAAAGTAATATTAGTAGAATTGAAAATTGAAACAGGGAATGTTTCAAAGAGCCAACAACCCGACCAAAGAGCAGAAAATAGCCGAAGGCCACCGATGGGTCTTCAACGCAGCGAGAAAAATCCCGCACCTGGAGGAGGGCTTCATCTGTCCCCTAAACAATAATGTATACTAGTTCAGCGCCAATTGACGCAACACTAAACTTTGAAACATATAAATGAACCAAAATTAAAAAACAAACAAAGGCTAAAGGTTCCAGACTTGGGACAGGCGCAAAAATGCGGCGGTGTTTCGTGAGATCCCAACCCTCCCGTTATACATCTAGCAAATGTGGAATAAACAAACCCACAGCAATACGCACAGTAAACCTCAATTTAGAAGAAGTCCGAGTCCGATGTTAGATTAGTTAACAGAAGAAACTAAGCAAAATTACAATTATCAACAGGGATTAACAAAGGACTACTCGCAGTTACTGACATGCCAGCTGCAGACTTCTGTTAAACTGATCGAAAGGTCTTGTCTTCATCATATGAAAATCAAGCTCATTTCCTCCCGTTAAAGGTTTAGTATCATGCCATCGTAAATTATACGAGAAGAACATAACCCGTATGATACCACAACTGGTTTTAGAATATATGTGTTTATTTCCGATTCAAAGACCCGATGATTGAATCAATATATTAAATCCCCAAAATGCCATCTTTTATGACTTGACAACATTATCGAAACTATATCCCTTGTGAATGAGCCTGGTTAAAGGTGTGGTTAGCTTTTGAGGTGAATGACGCCATGTTTGCGCTTTGTATAGAATATTACCATAAAAGATTGGATGTGAAATACCCAAAAGTATAAGATGTCTGCACGTTGATATATATTTACGAATGCTATCCTTTTACCGATGATAACAACTGGTAAAAGTTTTGACAAGTTTGAGTTATCGTAAACTAATGTGTAATGATTCTTCAGTAACACAGATATTTTTTTCGTTAAAATCAAATACGTTGTTACATACACGAGGGAATCGAACAAGTTGAGAAACATAAACACCATACGATGGTACCAAGGGAACGTCACCATAAAAAAAACCGGATAATTAGCAATAGGAAATGAAAAAACCATCTCTTTTATCGTAAATTTTACTATTAAGCTTCCCGTTAAAGTTATAGATATCAAGATCCAGGAAAGTGCAGTGTTCATTGTTAGTATTAGCTTTATATGAAGTAAGTTCAACAACATAAATCTTTTTGGGTACATATTGAGACCTAAAATGTCATTCAAATATCTAAAAGTGTTTTTAAATTTTTGTATCAGATGTTGTTTGTTCCGATGGATCATTGCTGATTTTGGACATATAACAATACAGAAACAGGTCCGCAATAAGTGATGCACAGGTAGTCCATTGGAATTCCGATAACTTGGGAATAAACGGAATCTCCAGAGTGAACAAATATGTTATCTAGTAAAAATCAAAGTGCAGTTATCATATCAGAGCAGGTCGAATTGACATAGCTAAAAAATGACCTAAAAGAGTTTGAACATATATATTCACATTCTGACTTTTTAGATGCCCATTTAATTAGGAATGCGATTTTTTTATTTTTTCTCAAAGATTCGTAAACATTTGCATTATTCAATGCAAAAATTCAAATATAAAAACTGTCCTATACATCTTTTATCCAAGATATTTTGTCATGTCGGGCCTGTTATAGCTGACTTTATTGTAAAGTTTTGGTTCATTGTTGAAAGTGACATATATTTCAGAAATGCTTTATACGTCATTTGAACGTTGTTGGATAGTTGTCTTGTTGGCAATCATACCACATCTCCTTATCTTATATAAAACTGTTCCTAATCACCATATACTAAGATTGTCCCGTTTCGAAAAGACAATAAAGTTAATTTTGTTGTAAGATATATATTTATGACTGAGGCTCAATAAATTGCTTGCCCTTCCAGACCACCGAAGATGACGAAAAATTTTAGGTGGGAATCAGGGTTCTCAGATTTTAATTTTCTATGTAGTGTTTTGTTGATAGTTCTTTTGTCTTTTCGTCATTTTTCATTTTCTGCCATAGCTTTGCCCGTTTTTGGTCGAACTATGAGTCCCATTGGTATTTCCCGCATATTCGTTTAAAGACTATACGTCATTTGCTAGATGCTCATATTTGGGCTTGAGTCAAACGTGGCCGACAAATATTCATATGAAAAAACAAATTACTCACTCATTCCGATGATCGTCGTAATCACAATCCCGTCCTCCTTTCCCTAACTGCGACCTTCCGTATTTGACTAATCACCGGGGTTTTACTTACATGATCAACACGATGGGTGCCACATGTGGAGCAGGATTTGATTATCCTTCCGGAGTACCTGAAATCACCCCGAGGAAAAATGCAATCATCCTGTTTGTCATAGATTGCAGTATAAAGATACGACCAAGATATGAAGCAGACCACTTACTTAATTCGGTAGCTTCCTTTTTTTTTTTTTTTTTTTAAATTCAAATACAATTTATTTCCAATACCCTGTTGCAATTACCTTAGTAGCCCAGGAGAGCATACTTAGGGTCCCAGTGTTACATTCGCACTCCTGTCCATAGAAAACAGGCGAGATAAATGTCCACTTTACTTATAAAATTACATATTGTAGTTTTTTTTTATATCAAATTAACACAAAAGTCAAACACACCTAACATAGTACATTAAATCGATCACACCAGATCTATAAACAGTGATACCTGTCTACAACACGGTAAGTTTTTAAGCAGATTATGTACATTGCTCTATTATTTTATATAAACAATGTAAATGTAATAAGTAGGTAGACATAATCTCCTTTTTTTCTAATTGAATGTATCGATACGTTAACTTAAAAAAGTAAAGTACACATTTGACCTAATTATTACATATCAGGGGCCGGTATCATGAAGCAATCTTAGTGCTTAAGCAGGGGCGGGTCCAGGGGAGGGCGTAATGGGCGTCCGCCCCCCCCCCCTTTAAAAATTAAAAAAAAAAAACTATCGTAATCTGCTAATATTGTTACATTAGTGCATTTCACAATTATTTTATGTTTTTTAGCAAAAAAAAGGTCAAAAAAAATTTTCGCCTCGCTCCGCTCGGCAAAGGATTGGATTATACGCCCCATCTTTCAAATATCCTAGAAACGCCCCTGTTTAGATTATCTTATCTGCTAAGAGTGTATATTGAAGTAATCTTAGAATGATTGACAACGAATGTGGCGGGGTAAAACATGTTTGTGAGCGCTCAGTCCACCCCCTAGTTCTCAGTGGAATTACAGCACAATATAAGAACAAACTATAAGAATCAGTTGAAAAAGGCTTAGCTCATCAGATCGATACAAAGCAGAAAAACTGATAAAACAAAAACACAAACCGAACGTGGCAAGGCAGTAATACATCCATAACAACAAAAAAGACCCAAAGTACAGGTCTGAGAGTACTCGCAGTTACTGACAGCTAGTTCAAAACCATTAACAACTAATAAAAAAATCATGTATCTAAGACTAAAATGTCAGTCACTACACACACAACATCCAATGGATTTAGCATTAACAGTCAGAGAAAAACATGACCTTATTCAATGCCAAAATAAAGGTATCGACAGATTGTAACATCTTTAACCTACATATGTGTAAAACAATAATATTTAGTATAGTTTTGCTTTACTGATAACAAAATCAATATTTATACCAATACAAAAAATCAATATTCAAAGATCTAATTACACTCAATGTTGAATTGGTAACCTTTAAGAATAAGTTTATTTAATAAGTTTACCCAGATCGTATCTAAATTTCCGGGATCGGTAAACAACATCACGTACCGTAAAAGTTTTGCTGTGTTATTCCGTTTGAAATCTTTCTACAATCAAATCTTTGTATCTATAGAAGAATTTAGTAAAGGTTTTAAATAATTTGTGGTAACGAAATTC